TTGCAAATAATCTCATAGTTTTAAGTCTCGGAAATTCTCCAGACCCAACGAATCTTTTGTTGCTTATATGTTCCTTCTTCTCAAATATAATTAAAGTTTACTATCAATGACAATTCCATTCTATTTTAGATGAATGTACTTATAGAAAAAACAATTTTAATAATTTTTAATTTTTTAATTTTTTTTAATAATTTTTTATTTGCTTTGAAGAATTTTATTTTATTGAATTTAATTTGAATTGAATTTAAATTTAATTTGAATTGAATTTGATTTATATTTCATTATAAAAAAATTGTAGAGTATAAAAATAATTTAAGAGAAATATGTGAAATTATATTATTTTTTTAGGTTTTTGTTTAATTATTTTTTAACAATTCTTTTTGATTATATTTAGTGAAATTGAACTTGAGAGAAGAAAAAAAAATCTATCTAATTTTTATGGGACGAACAAATTGCAATGGGCTTGAGAGAGAGAGAGAGAGAGAGACAATGCCCCCTGTAGTTTCTGTTCCCTATCTTTGCGATTAGTCCTGAAGGTGCGATTATTGTACCCGTGGAATGTTATATAAGGATGGGAGGCCACAGTGATTTCGTTCTTATCCGTTTCCAGACCATTGACTGGCGCCCGATATTACCGAATAGTACTCTAGGAAACAACCCCCCATTTGAGCCATTTTCTCACAGAGTCTAAGCTCAATCTTACTCAGAAAATGTTGATACACCTAATTTCTGAGGAAACTAAAACCAAATTTTCTCCTTTCTTTTTATCCCACAAATTCCCTCATGATTTATGTATAGAGAGAGAGAAAGAGAGTAGAAATGTAATTGCAAATCGCTTTTTTAGATTTGACTTTCATCTTTTCACTTCCATCCTTATAGTTTCAACATTCCACTTTCACTTTCACTATTTGATTTTTCCGAAAGTGGAAACGGAATTATGAAAGTTTAAGTGGAATAGTTGAAAAGGAACTAGAATGGTGAAAGTGAGAGTGAAAGTGAGAGTGAAAGTGAGAGTGAAAGTGAGAGTGAAAGTGAGAGTGAAAGTGAAAGTGGAAATGGATTGTTGCAAGTAGAAGTGAAAGTGTAAGATTGCAAGTGAAAATGAAATTGCCTAATCGATCCCCTGATTTATTTTCCCAAAACGTAATTAAAAACAAGTTAAATTTCCTTTTTGTAAAAATTATTTTCTTTTTTCGAAAAAAAAGTAGAACAATTCTCAGCATCTTCGATTAAAGTAAGATCCTATAGTAAACCCAGACTTGTGGAATCTGATTGGCGGATCTCGAGTTAACCTAAGGGATAAATTTTAGCAGACGTCAGGCTTTAAGTCCCATAAGAAAAATTGCTTAAATTATCCTCGTCTTCAACTCATTGCGAGGAAAGAGAGAGAGAGAGAGGGAGTGAGTGAGTTCATTTCAGTGAAAAGGAGGGATTTGCTGCCTCGTATTCTCTTGGCTTGAAGGAATATATAGTGAAAGTGACTTTTTGAAAATGCACCTTTGAGACAAAAGTAGAAATGTAATCGGGTGGAGATTGAATGAACAGTATGTGTGTGTGTGCGCTGAACGAGGATTGAGTAATGAAAAGGTATAATTAGAGGTATTACTATCTCTAGCTCACTCTCTTTTTCCCTCTTTCTCTCTCTAATTAAAACACCATTTACAAAAGGAGTAACATGTACAATGAAATGAACAGAGGAACGAATGAGATAAAGCTAAATCGAAATAATTCTCTCAATTGTAAAACTAAGCCTTTTTCATTAGGTATATATAAAAAAAAAAAATTATAAAACTAAGTAGATTTCAAATAGTATTTTCGAGAAATAGTAAAAGAAAATTATCTTTTCTAAAGATTAATACAAAAATTTTATACGAAATTTTAAATAATTTTTCTTTATTAATTTGAAAACAATTTAAAAATTGTTCGAAACAATTTCTTTTATACTGACAAAAGAAAAAAGCAAATACAGAAATGATATATGTAAACGAATTTTTGGAAAATTTGTATTTGAATTCAAAAAGTTGTACGTCATGGTAGAAAGTAAATAATGTATCTAAACTTTTGCAACTGTTTTCATCGGTGATTCTGCCAGTAACTTTCAACTCTATCCTCATTTGAACATGGACTTTTACATTTCAATTCCTTCTGTACAAGAATCATGCAGCACCAAGTGTACTAGTTTAACTAGTTTGTGGTTCGATTCCCATGGGTTAAGTTGCCGCGGGCGGCATGAATAAAGTACCTCTTTCCTTTACTCATCCCTGCAACATACACATCCCCTCCTCCTTTCCCTACGGCTCACCTTTTTGCCTATTCACTCACTTTTCACCACAACTTTCATTTTCCTGAACGAGAACGAGAGAGAAAGAGAGCGTCAAAACAAATGAATTTCTGAATGAGCGCTTAAAGTAATATTTTAGCAGCTTTTTATTCGACGGTTCATTAACACCGTTTTGTGCATTCCAGTGCTATATTATATTTGCTAAAATAATTACGATTATTATGATTCAAAATATGAATACACTGAAAAAAAAAATTTATTCGATTCAAATATACGTTTATTTAACTCAAATATATTTCATTTAATTCAAATAAATCATTTCTCTGGGTGCAAAATTTAAGAAATTGGTAATTTTAGTTTCAGTAGTTTAAGTCAGATATAGTCAGACACTTTGATATCAGTAGTAAAAAACAACTTCAGTCAGACGTTTAAAATTTGTGTTTACTTTAGGTACCAGTAGTGAATGTCAATTTTAGTCGGATGTATTTAAAATACAAATCATTTTTAAATTAATAACAATTTTAACGAAATTCTCCACTTGACTAATAAAAAGTATTTTACATTTATAATTTAAAAATTTTTTTGACAGAAATATATAACCTCAAGTGATGATTCAATTACGAGGTTCATTTCAGTAAATTTTGCGCTTCATTTAAATAGTTATTTTTGCACGATGTTTTCTCCGTAAAGTTGCGTCTTGAGAAAAGTTGGTTATTTGGTTCACAACCCACACAACCCTCTCCATCCCCCCCCCCCTCCGCCCCTACCACCTTTCCTACGTAAATCCTAAGTGGTTTTCCGTGCCTTAGTGCTTTCTTTTTCACGTTTCAATACACTGGATCGTTTTCTAGGTACAGAAAGAAAAAGCTAGTCCCTCGAATCTTTCCCTATTACGGCAGCGCACTTAGATACAGAAAAACCCAGGACAACATTTTTCTCAGCAAAACATCTCTTTTACAGGAAATAGAAAAAAGGTTATAAAACGCTCTACTCCCCCGAGGCTGTTTCCATTCAAGTAGACAAAGTATTCTTCAATTCCAAACGTAACTAGGTATTTTCTTATTTCAACTCGGACACAAACAATTATTTCTTTTGAAACGTCAATTTCGTTGTTTTTTTTTTTGCTTTAAAAAATATATATTTTTTATTATAGAGATATATTTAAAAATTTTAAACAAAGGGTGAGGTGAAGAAGAATTTACTTTAGAGAATTTTAGAAAATAAAAAAGTATTTTCTGTAAGAAAATGTTTTTTACTACTAGTGATAAAATTACAAGAATAGGAAAACTACTCTAATATAAATTGTGTTCTTTTTCCAATATATAAAGTTTATAAAAATTTGATGGAATTGAAATTGAATTTTGCTATTGATTTGAATTTTGTCTGACTAAAATTGTCATGTGTTACTAAGAACAAAATTACAAGTATTTTTAAATTTTGTTTGACTGAAACTCGCTTGTTCTACTGATAGAAAAAACCGCAATAATATTAAACATTTTAATAAAGTCTTATTTTTTTTAAGTAGTAAAAAGCAGTCATAGTCAGACCGATTTTTTCATTTTTTTTTATTATTTTCATATCAAGTGAACGTATTATTATTTTTTTTTATTATTTATTAGTTTTTTTTTTTATATAAATTTTGAAAATCGATTGAATTAAATTCTGTTAAATGAAATATCGATAGAATACATTGTTAATTCTATTGTCTAAAGTATATATATTTTGTTTAATGAAATGAAACAGAAATTTTGAAATTACATCAATTGTATAAAGTGCGGCAACAATTTTAATCAACACAATGATTTTATGCTTTGTTAACAATTCTCTTTCATATTGTATAACTATCGATTATGTACATATTTTTCCATTTGTTTCACCCATTTCAAAGTTAATCATATTCATGAAAAGTTGATTGTTACTGATTTCAATAGATGATACGGATTTGTGTGCTTTAGTATATATATATATATATATATATATATATATTGTGATTCTCATTGTCGATAACATTTATTATGTTACACACTTTGATGAGAATTTTGCTTTAAAACATTTATAAGCGTATAGGAGAATTACATGTTATGCTCATATTGTTGTAGAATTGTAACATCAATAGACAATTAATATCATCTGGAAACATGAATGTTCGACTTCTATATATGTGATTTTACCTCTAATATACAATTCGAAAATAATGAGGAGTATTAACGTTGTCCTATAATTAGAGTTATTTCTCATTGTCTCTATATTAAGTGTCTGCTGACAAGTAATTATACTATCGTGACATTTTCAATCAATCAGTATATATATATACACTTTATTGAACGAAGCTTGACTAATTAGTCTGATAATGATTCAACGCATCATATTCACATTTGTCATCATTTCTATATTTTACAAATTTACTAATTATTTTCATTTTGTCGATTTTAATTTGTTTTTCCAAATACGATGAATAAATTTCATATTTAATAATTATCAATCACACATCATTTAAATTTGTTTTCCAATCAATTGTTTATTGTGTAAATAAATTAATAAACATGATATATATATATATAAAAACATGTAAATTGTTCTTAAATTTTAATTGACATTACAATTTTGATTTATATTTTTTATTAAACAAAAACAAAAAAAATGATTAATAAATAAGGTTAGAATTTATTTTTTTCTATTTAAAAAATAAAATTAATGAAATTTTTCTTTTCTTTTTTAGATGTGACGAATCCGCCGATAAGAGAGATCATTGTCGAGGCGGGAAAAAACGTGACATTAGATTGTCCCGGTGTGACGGAACAGTCTCTCATATCAACGTTGGAATGGCGTGCGAATAGTGTGTTAATAGTTGAATACAGCAGTAGTAGTACAACGGTCTCAAATCATCGTGATCGTGTCTCGTTTTTTCCAAAAAACTTCTCTCTACTGTTTCATCCTGTGGCATCGACTGACAGCGGGGACTATCAGTGTGTTGTGAATAACCGCAAAACACCGGAAACTATATTGAGGATCATCGTACAAGGTAAGGACATAACGTTTTTTTTTGCATACACTTTTTTATATTTATTTCCAAAAAAACAATTATTATTTGATTTGTTTTCAATTATAATAAATAAGAAAAGATGAAATTCTTTTTCGATTTTTAATAAATAAAAAATAATAATAAATCTTTGTATTGGGGCCTTTGGTTATAAAATTTAATTAATTTGTAGTTATTAAGAAATTAATTCTTGACCCCTTGACTGTCGATGACCCATATATGTCCAAAAAAAAAGTCGTGCCACCTTTGAGTGTCAATGTGTATACTAACATTTTCGGGGTCGCTGAATCCGAATTTGAGGTCAGAATTAAAAAATTCAAAATGGCGGACCCAATATGATGGAAAAATTGAAAATTGATTCGATTCGTTCAAAATTGGGTACTCGGGGGTTTTTAGGGTCGCTGAATCCAAATTTGAGGTCAGATTTGGATTTGGCGACTCAAAAAACCCCTAAGTATCGAATTTTAAACGAATCGAATCAATTTTAAATGTCCGCTGTATTATGTGGCCATATTGGGTCCGCCATTAAAATTTTTTTAAATCTGACATCAAATTTGGATTTAGCGACCCAAAAAACCCCCGAGTACCAAATTTTGAACGAATCGAATCAACTTAAAAATTTTCCGCCATATTGGGTCCGCCATTTTGAATTTTTAAAAATCTGACATTAAATTTGGATTCAGCGACCCCGAAAACCCCCGAGTACCGATTTTTGAACGAATCGAATCAATTTTCAATTTTTCCGACATATTGGGTCCACCATTTTGAATTTTTAAAATCTGAACTCAAATTCGGATTCAGCGATCCCAAAAACCTTTAATATGATGATATAAATTTTTTTTGGAAACTTTTTTTTTACCGTTTTGGGCCTACAAACGATTGACAGCGAAGGGGTTAATATTCAATTTGTACATTGAAAAAACTAATTAAAAAGTAATAATTGTAATAATAATATTCAATAATAATTGTTCTCCTTCTGTAATTGTTGAAAATAATGAAGAGAAAAAAGAGAAACTTTTTTATCCGCTTTACATTTCTGCTTTTTAAATAAGCTTTGTATTAAGTTTTCTTTTTTTTCTTTTTTTTTGAATGAGTTGTTAGAGTTGAGACAAATGAAGTTCAGTTTATTTTTAAACACAATCTAACTACATAAATCCCTCCTTTTTAAATTACCTTTTATAGGTAAACATCCGTTGTAACTTATTTTCAGTTGTGAAAATTAAAAAGGAAAGAAATTTTAGAAAATTAATAAATAGTGAATAATGTTATGTAGTATTTGTAATTTTTAAATGAATTTTTGTTTTTCTTAAATATGAATGAATGAATTTTATTGTCGTTATATTCTGTGGGGGGGGGGTTTACATTTTACAGGCAGAATTTCACTTTATTGAACTTTAAAGATTTCAACTGAGGGGTAACGTCTGTCTAATCTATCCCATCGCCGTTGCCCCCCCCCCCCTCATCCTCCTCCACTAGTTCTTTCTAGTGTCTTTAGATCGAAAGTTTTAACGTAAGCGCCACCTACCGTGGCAGTTAATAGTTTCAGACAATCAGACTTTGATCATTATCGTAAAGTTCCCAAAGGATGAAGTCATTGAATGTTCTGAACAAACATCTCCCTCTGCCTTGACATTTCACACAGTTGAATTCTGCATATAGTGACATGTAACATAATCGTAATGTTTATTTCACGATCATTAGTCAAGATTTATTATTTTATATACTACTACTCTTGGTAATTATTAGATAATAAATTTGGTTTTATAAATAAAAAATGAAATGTGAAAAATATAAAATTGTTTTTTTGTTTTTATTTTTTTGAAAGTTTGATAAAATTGGAAAAAATAGAATCTTTTTATTTAGTTGTCACTGTTTTTTTTATCAGCTTTCTATAAATGAAAAAAAAATTTAGTCTATATTTTTTTCACGTTTAAAAATTGTTTTTTAGTTATAAAAAAAAAGTATGGTCTGATAATAATTCCCGAGTGTACGAGTGCGTGAAAAAAGGTTTTTTTTTTTTTTATTTTTTTGTGAACTGAAAATTCAGACGATTTCGAAAAATTTTCTTTTACATTTTCATCGACATTGACAACTTTTCAATTTCCATGGAGTTGTAAATATGCAGTACCGAGAAAGAAATTCTACCCTTGGAGGAGTAAATATTTGTCAAAATATCGCGTTTTCTAGCTTTCCAGAGAATATAAATATTTATTTAGTGCATTTGCTTTTCGATATAAGTTCCAGTTCTGTTTTATTTACTTGAAAAATTTTTAATTTAGAGAAAATATATCAGTTCTAATTAGGTTTAAATTGAAGAATGAATGAATGTTTTAAATTTTTTTTGGTGACAGTAGTGAAAATTAGTTTTTGTTAGATGCAATTTTTAAAATTCGTGTAACTTTGATATTAGTAGTGAAAGTCAGTATTATTCAGACACAAATATTTCGAATTATTGTAATTTTTGTAACAGTAGTAAAAGTCAATTTTTGTCAGACGTTTTTAATTTTTTGTTTTTTGACATCAGTACTCTCTGAAAATAAATTAGTAAAAATTTTATCTAATTTGAATTAGAGATTCTTTTTTCTTTTTGTATTAGTAAAATTTAACTAATTCAAAAGCAAAAAGTGAATCAGTAATAAAAAATAAGTTAAAATTTTTACTAATTCTTTAGAGAGTAGAGAAAATCAGTTTTTATCAATAATGATTATATTTTTATCAGTAAAAAAAAAAAAATTTATATTCTAACATATTATCTCACATAAAATGTGTTTTTTCTTGTTTTACAAGACTCTATTACTTTTTGAAATGGTATAAAAATTTTTCTTTGTGACAATCATTATTTTTATTTTGACGTCATATAATATAACGAGAATACGTCTCGATACAATGTCTTCTTACCGAAGGAATTTCCGACATGACATTCTATTGAAACTCGATCATTATTTTTCGAATTGAAGAAATACAGTATATATATATATTTCTTTTTTTCTTTTTTTTTTTTAAAGAAAAGTGAATAGATACAGAATTATGAACTCATGAAGAAGATTTTGATTATTGATTGTGGAAAAAATTATAGTAGAATATATATTGTAAAATATAACAAATGTAAATTCTATTCAAGAATGGTCACGCTTTGGCTCATTCACTGTATAAAAGCGTCGCTCCGCATTTTGTGTTCCGCGAACTAGTTTACTAAAAAAGTTTGTAAAGTTTATACAAGCTTCGTGAAAAAGAGAGGGGTTTTTAAGCTTTCTCTCTCTCTTTCTGCCTAACTATCCTATTACGGTACACTAGCGTCTCGACCTCTTCTATAACATTTTATTTTAAAACTGAGTTATCCAGTATGTTTGCTTTAAGCATTTGTACCTGATTTAAATTCGCCCCAGGCTCACAACGTCAAGAACGAACTTACTTTCGCGAGACACATATAGACTTTTGGAACCTAACATCGCGTTTCAATTCAGTCTCGCGTGCACCTTCTCGTGTCAAGTTCTTCGCGCACGCTGGAAAAAGGGGGGGAGGGAGGGTTTGTTGAAAAACTTGAGAGCAATCACGGACACTTAATCGTGTTGGGGAACTTTTCAAAATTTACATAATGCGACCAAGGAGATGTACATTGTGTAAATTTAAAACGATTCGTTTAGCCCTGTGAGCTTTATGGTTGACTTTTAAGTTTTTGAATTTTTTTTTTTTTGAGGTGGATAAATTTTATAAGGTTCTTGAGAAAAATGTTTTCCATGTGTGTTGTTGAAGTATACCGGATTTATTTAAATGTTTATTTTTGAATAAAATCTCTCTCAACTTTTGCTATGGAAATAGAAAAAAATTACTTCGGAAACAGTAAAAATTATTTTTGAAATATAGTATTTTTTTATTATTTTCGGAGAAAAAGTTGACAGAATTTCGAAAAAATTGCTAAAAGTTTATAGAATTTAGAAGTAGTAAAAATAACTTTTTTTTTTGAATTTTTCTCCTTGTAAATAACACTTTTAGTGCTGCTTTTTAAATTATAAATAGAATAATTGAATTAATTATTTTAAATGAAATATTTTCTACATTTAAAAAAAAAAACTTGATTCAATTTATATGGAGTGTAATTTAATATGCATATATAAGATAATTATGAGATGTGCTTTTATTCATTTTAATAAGAATTTGTATATCTTGTGGTTAACGGTTGAACAATTTGAATACATAGAAATGTGTGTGTGTGTGTACATGAATATAAATATGCAATCTATATAGAGGTAATAATTTCTTGTTAGCATTCAGTGGAAATTGTTTGCAATTTGCTTATAACTACCCTCTCTCATTTGCGATTCAAGAATCTTCTTTAGAGTTTGTTGAAGGAACATTTTATTCAAAGGTATGATACTGAGATGTCTTTCATACGTGCTCGCAACATTTCTCTTGAAATTCCTCGTATTCGAAACCAATCCGTCGAGACTTGGTCTTGCTTTTGAATTCATCCATCCATAGCAATGATGTTTTTGCTCGAATGCTTCAACGAGAGTGTTTGCTACTGAGAGGGTAAGAGCTGCAAATACGTGCGGATTCAACACACTATAGGCACGAAATATATATATATGCATGTAGGTGTGTGTGTGGAAAGCGTTTGACTAATGAGTTCGTTGCTTTTTCAAATATTTATGTGTTTGTGTTCTAACAATACCACCAAAAATTTTAGTTTTAAACCAAAAATGTATGACGCATTTTTTGATTGGACCAACTCTCCCTGGTTTCGGTTTCGTGTCTTTTAAAATTCAGATCTTTTTTTTCTTTCTTTTGTTTTCAAATGTAGGTTAAAAATTAGTTTGTATATAATAAAAAATGGTTTACCATGATAACGTTTGCCATGAGAACGGTTGCCATAGTAATGGTTGCTAAGGACCTATAGAAACGGTTCCCATGGTAACACTGAAAATTATATGGTATTAAAATAAGCTGCAACGCTTATTATTTTAATCCAATTTTGCTTATTT